AAAAAAAAAAAAAAAAAAAAAAAAAAAAACAAAAAAAATAGAGCCGACTAAAAAAAGGAAAGGAAAAGTAAGGGAAAAAATAATATAATTCAAAATACCTCATTATCTGGTATATTATACAAAAATCGCCAGCATATATCATCTAGAACTTCTGCTGGAATGCTCGGTACCGTCTGGGCCGAATGTAGTGAATTGGGACGGAAGCTAGAAGACTTATTCTGGCTAGGATTTATACAGGCTGCACTACGACTATAATTCTTGTTCACAAACACCTGAATACAGCAAAACTTAATTACATAAAATCATCCAGAAGATGAAAACAGCACTTAAACCTCCAAAAAATCACTAAACTGCTGACTTGCACTGACGGTTTTTGTTGCGAAAATGGACTTTCCGGCGGCTCGGAACGCCTTTCTTCAGACCTAGTAGTTTCGACAGCAAAAACTAAAAATTAAAACTGGCTAAGTTAGTAGAAATAGTCAAGAGCAAACTTATAATAAATACCCCAAACATAAAAGAACTTGAAAGTTACCGGGTTCCGACTGTCTAAACATCCGAGCACCAACACTACGATTTACTCCACCTCTCCTACTCCTATTTCTCCGAGAATAACTGTTTTTTTGATCACTGTCACCTGAATGGAATGGGTATACAGACTTTTCAGAAGCAAATAAATTAGATACGGTGGATAAACTAGTGTAACTACCATTTACGTCAAAGATCTATGAGATGCTCAAAACCAGATCAGAGTTCTGTCAAATCCGCTTCCATGGAATCCCTACCTAATATAGTAGTGCATTAAAAGAATGAAACGATACACGAAACAAATAGGAAAAGATGCTGAGCTGTTAAAGATAGATGACTTTCAAAAATATTTAAACCAAAACTTAGACTGACCTTCGTTCTCAAACAACATTTCTGAAGATCCAATTGTATGACTGTTATAAGTATTGTGGCGAAACGGGCGTTGCATACCAAAAAAGTGCAGTAAAAATGGTTGTAAACCACAGGAAATTCCCAAATATATGATGCTAAAACAATTAACTTGCTCGAATCCATTCAGAAGGTTTAAGTCACGATTGACAAAGCGATTTTAAATAGTATCCAATATAAAATCGAAGTTGAATAACAAAAGGCATTTTTTATGATAATACACACTATAATAGACCCCATTACCTAACAAAAAAAACTTTTTACAAGCAAATACCTAAGTTTTACCCAGCAAAATCCAACTCCCACTAAATTAACAGGAGTAAAAAATACACTGGAGCTCACAAGCATCGGCTATGCAACAACAGTAACGCAGCATGAACGGAATGAGCAATGACAATTGAAGTCAATTTCAACAATGTTCATTGAACTTGATTTATTTTTGTTATTATTAATGACAAATACTGCTTTCATAGTAAATACAACATCAGACCAAACTTAATCATGTGTACCAGAAAAATACCAAAAATTGATTATACTCTTATAAAGAGCAAATATGTAGTTCTAAAATAAGTAAGGAAAGTAAACCCAATACCTTCTGGTACCCGTCAATCTAAAATGGTTACCACCTGCAAAATCTATAAAAAATTTCAATTCGAAAAATTGCTTACCAAAACTTTACGCAAGTGGTTGTATTTAACGCACCAATCTGCGTATACCAGCAACAAACAAAACTGTTTTAAAAAATTACCGAAATAAGTCAGTTTAAAGAACCAATTTATACAAAAATGCTTTCAAAGCGCACATTTCGTTAGGGTTTAATTCGAAACTGTTAACAGAGTCAATAAGAAGTGATGAGAAAGAAAACAAATAGAGAATTGAAAACAAAAAAGAAAAAAAACTACGGTGTCCCGCTGATAGAACATTCAACTGGAAATTTGCTCTATTTCATCCGATAAAATACAACTCCCCTTAGACTAATACTATTTGCCTCTAGCTTGACAATATATAAACAACGATTAACTTTTGTCTGCATAAACGGTTCAATGCAACAAATAACCAAAAATTTCCCAATAATAAAAATCAGATGAATGTAAAAATCAGGTAAAAAAAGACAACTTCGGACGTGATCGAGAAAGACGAAAAAAAAAAAAAGAAACCAATGTTTTTTCAACAAGTAAACAAACAACACAGAAACGGTATTGTAACGGAATTTTCACCATAAATATGTGAATAAAATAAGCCTGCAACAATATAACTTCATGAATTAAAGTCATAAATCACTCAACATATTGTACTGAAACAAAAGAAACATAACGAAGCAAAAGAAGAAGGAGCGATAAACCGGAAATAAGAACAAAAATCGCAAAAAAAAAAAAAAAAACAAAAACAAAAAACCGCATGGAATTGTGACAGTCCTGCTGATACGACTGGTAATAGAATCTTGGCTGCTGACGAGCGTACAAGCCAATGGTGGAGAAGAAGGTTGGAATGGAGATCTCGACGTCGATTTTTTGAGCACAAAGTGCGGCTACGACGACGATGCCGAAGCTGGAACTGTCTGGTAATGCTAAAGAATTGTGCGGCAGTCGCGAATAATGAAGAATACAGATAGACCGAAGACGACGATAAGATACCATTATTGAGGCATAAAGGGCAGTGTTGGCAAATTTCCAACCTCATCACATTCCGACTCTATCTGCCTGTTGCCGCAGTTAAAGTGTGTGCTGATAGAGTTCCGTTGGTATTGCCACTGATGCTGTCGTTTTGGTGTGCTTGTTTTGTCGATGTTGTATGATGTTGTTACTCTGCTGGTCTGTTGATTCCAAATTTTTTTTTTTCAAGTGTCTTATACTCTAATTCGCAGGCAAAGATTGATTGCTGCATTTGAACGCGAAATGGCCACCTCGAATAGTATCTAAACCGCATATACACGCGAACATAGAAACACACATACACACACATATTTATGTATATATTTATACACATATATACTCTGAGACACACACACAGACACATACATACACATCAAAACTCACATAAAGAAACCCATACATAAAACACATGCAATTTGTTGTCAGGCTTCTTAATTGTTAAAGTACTTTT